GCACGTATCTCGGGGAACTTTATAAGCATTAGCAAAAAAAAAACCTAGCAGGACAATCACCTCAAAATAGTTGGTTTCAGTGACTGAGTTTCTTTACGTGCCACTTAACCTTCAAAAATATAGTTTCATGTTTTAGAATTGTTGCAATATTTTCCACATGTTTTTAGAATGTGTCATTATTATGGAGAGCAATGGCGAGTGCAACAGCAACGTTTCTTCATGCTATGATACAAAATTACTTTCCACAAAATCAAGATCGAGAACCGTGTAGTATTTACCTATAGTGGAATTCATTTTAGTGACCATATCTATCCAGCCACAGGATCGTATCATTTATCAATTACTATCTTCAATACATTTCAAAAATGACATTATATTAAAAGAAAAACTTGTTTCTCTGATGTAGACTGTAATATTATCAAACAAACAGGTCTATTCCGAACACCTAGAGATAACCTTGATTAATTAATGAACTCATTCCAGGAATTTTTAGTCTGTTAATTTTCTACATTTTTGGAACAGTTTTTTTTTCTTAGAGCCTGTGTACATGAAACTATTTTGTCAGTCATATTCTCGATTGTTCAGAGGCAGTCTTGCGAGTTAATAACGATGAGAATCAGGGTTTGATACCCGAGGTGGGCACAGTGTATGTTGTCCATTGTGTAGCTTTGCGTTTAAAGAAAACAAACAATACATTATCGTTGACAAATAATATTTTGTACAGTCATCATTCTATGTAGTTTTAAATTAATCAAAAACAAGAAATTGTTGTATTCTGTTATAAGAAAAGCTTTTGAAGAGCTTGTGTTTTTAAACTATACCTTCAAAATGAAAAAAAAATATTTCAAAACTTGTAAAGAATATTTGAGGTGGATATATAAACAAACACTGAGCCCCAGTGTACAAAAACATCTTAAAACATTATAAAAAAGAGCTGGAACGGGTGGTTAAAATTGGACACAGTTTGAACAGTCTTAAAATAAGTATATCTCAAATCAGTACTAAATTATCTAAACAAAACATTTCTTGCTGTTGATATTCTGATTTTAATTGAAACCTATTACGTTAATCCGATCAATACCAGCGTTTCAAATATCACAAGTTTAATTCATTTAAATAACCAGAGTAACTAATATATTTTCGTATTTCATTTACAAGGGTCGTGGACATCATAAGTAACTAGAGAAACAGATAAATTTTCTTATATTATTTTAAATGTTCGTGAATGCTATATATATAATATGAGGAATTGATAGCTTGTAGAATTGTATTTAAAATGTTCGTGGAGGTTATAAATAATTAGAGAAATTTATAGATTTTCCTGTTTTATACAAAAATTCATGGATGTTATAAATATCTAGTAGGTTTTCGTGTTATATTTCAAATGTTCGTGGATGTTATAAATAGCTAAAGAAACATATAGATTTTTATGTTTCATCTCAAATTATCGTGGATATTATTAATAACTACAATAACTGATAGATGGTCGTGTTTTCTTTACAACTTTCATGGAAAGTTCGCTGAGGCAAAATTAAGTCTTCCATTCAAAAGGATAAAATATAAATTTGGTATAAACTTATCTGATGTTATAGATGCTCAGAATGGTACTTGGAAGTTCATTCTCAAAGTTACCATTACTCAGAATGGTACTTGATAGTTCATTCTCAAAGTTACCATTACTCAGAATGGTACTTGGAAGATCAATCTCAAAGTTACCATTACCCAGAATGGTACTTGATAGTTCATTCTCAAAGTTACCACTACTCAAAATGGTACTTGGAAGATCAATCTCAAAGTTACCACTACTCAGAATGGTACTTGGAAGTTCATTCTTAAAGTCACCACTACTTAGAATGGTAC